GCAAGCAGACAGTTTCTCCTCGATTCATTAAACTTCAAGATCAAAATACAACAGCCGAATCATCGCGCTGCCCAAAAATAAGAATAACTTGTTAAAAGGAATTAAAAAGTGAAATATTTCCAAGGTGACTTCGGTGTGGTCTGCAGTTTGTCATCCCCACAGATTTCACGTCCTTGGCGCACGGCCGCTCCAACTATCACAGTCCCCGTATAATCCCTGAGAGTCGGAGAACCTTGCTCGCCGACAGAATCCTACACCAATTATTATTCCTTATATCCTTCCGCTTTATATCAAGCTGTAACCGCAAGCAAACCGGGCACGCTACTGGGTTTGATCCCGGGTCAACCAGAGTAAGAAAGGAAAAACAGTCAGCGGAAGGGCGGTTGCATTATCCTCCCATCTACTCCTAGATCTTCCTTTCAGGTTTCCAAACAAAACATTTTTGTGCATGTTTGTCTCTCCCATTCGTACTATACGACTTGCCCATTGCAGTTTTATTGATTTTAGTAACTGTTGTAATACTAAATATGCAGTTTCGTCCATTCTCTTGCATTTTAATTTGTTTTAGTTCAATGTTTTCTCCTTGACAGCGTATTTTAATGAATATCAATCTGTGCCCTTCTCTCGGGATATAATACCGGTATCCACACAGGCCTTTACACATTAAACAACGAAACAACATGGCCATTACTTAAAGTCATTAATAATGGACTCTTCATTGGATTTGAGACACTTCTCTCATTTCGGTGTCAGAATCCTGTCCAACATTTCATTCCTGCCTTAGTTTGGTTTTATAATGAGATGGTCTTTTTTGTCTCCGAATTTAGATTGTGGTCTAGTGGTCAGAACACTAGCCTTGTAAGCCTGGGGTCCCGGGTTCAATTCCCGGTGGTGCTCAAATTTATAACTTGTGTTGGGCAAGGCCGTGGTCTAGGCATCACGGAGTTTTCCTCCAGGGGCTTCCCCGGTTTCTCCGTGGCATCCCAACAATTACTCCACTCACACACAGAAGAAGGCAATGGCAAACCACTTCTGGATCATCTGCCAAGAACGTATATGAACAGGTCCCAGTCCGAGAAAAGGATGGAAGGATCCTGTTCATATAGACCTGTCGTCAGACAGAACACTAAATAAATAAAAAAAAGATCCTGTTCATGATATATGGACCTGTCGTCAGACAGAACACTACAAATAAAAAACAAAAGATATCTTACAATGTAATTAATCACTTAATGATTACGCTGATCGCAACATAAATCACATGTAGGATACACAACAGTTCCGTATCTTGCCGATATGCGGCAGCTCAGTATGGAGTATCGACTGTGCCATGTAACTGTACGTATTTTCTGACAGTTCGTTTTATCCCCGCTGCTGAATAACCAAAAAACAATCATTGTTTAATTTGTTTTCCATGCATTTATTCTGTTTACAATACAGCGCATTACATTATTAAGTAAATGATTTAACTAGGACATTTAATAGTGTTGGAGCAAAGATATGTTATCGTTCGTCATTTACAACTGACACTGAAAATTATGTGCATACAGAATTTTAAATTATGGTTCGAAACTGAAGTACGGCGGTCTAGACAGAATATTGACCGTTTGAACCCGAAGCTCAACTACGTAACTTTTAAAAAATTCAGTTCTTATCACAAAGAAAATCCGTCTCTTTTTCAAAGATTGGTTGGTTAATATAGTTTACATGGGAATAGTCAGCCTTTACTCTGAGAATCGTACGAAACCTAAATATTATTTGC